AAAAAAAAAAAAAAAAAAAAAAAAAAAAAAAAAAAAAAAAAAAAAAAAAAAAACATGAGATACCATCAGATGTGTGAGCAGAAAAAAAAAATTATATATATATATATACATATATATATATATATATATCGTCACAAATAGACATATATATATATATATCACTTGGTTGTCTGACGATTTTTTTCGGCGCTCACACACAGACATTCTCAAACACGACCACACATGCATAAGAACAGGGGGAGACGATTTTGTTATTTAAACCACCCAAACAATATAAAACACGCCCACACATGCATAACAAGAGGGGGAGAGGTGACAGAGTCAAAACTGCACACAGACAAGGATAAGCAGCGAAATTCAACCATGCACACATGGGGGAGGTCACACAATGACTCTCACTCTTCGACAGACTCCCAACAAACAATCACAATAAAGAACCTCAACAAAATCACAATTGATATGATGCTGATGATGAGCCAACTCGAACGAATATCATAACACTGTTTGTTACAGTCCCTTCGTCCCCAATCGATTTCCCTCATTCTACTAATAGAGTATAATACTCTAACCTACACGTAGACCGGACTGAGTAACTGACCAATACCGTTGCAGTTTCGCTCTCTCCGCCTCTGCCGGACCCGACTATAGGCTATAGGACCGTCCATCAGCTCTGGCCATTAGGGCCTGTCTGTCCTGGGGTTAGTCCGGGCCTGCTATTCGCAGTAAGTGTACGTATAGGAAATTTGAAATACTGTTGGGCCTATATTTCCCATATTTACATATGTGGCCCTCACAAATTTTCCTCACAGGTTGGTCTCACGGTTACGCCCGAGTCGAACGAAATTACAAATCTAACCCTACGGGTTAGTATACAGCCTCGCCATCAGTCTTCGCAGTCAGAATGAGCAAATATATATATATATATGTTTATATATACAATCAACACGTAAAACTAAAAAGCCAACAAACATAAAAGTCGCATGTACAAGATACTACGACATAACATAATGTCAGTCGTCGAACAACTCGACATCATCTGCGTCCGATAGAGAATCGCATGATCGATCGGACACGGCATCCACCGGTACAGGCAACCCATCCCCGTCGCCAATGATGAAAACATCGTCATCCCCCACAACGTCGGGATCCGCACCTGAAGCAACGTCGTCCTCGTCACGGGCAATGGTATCCTCGCCTCTGCAGAAATGATCGCGAGGCAGAGGAGGTGTCGAGGACCCGACCTCGCCCGACACATCACAGTCGTCGTACTCGAGGAGGCGTCGAGCCCAATCTGAAACACATTTTGAACCGAAGATGAACGTGGACAGCCGATCCATCCACGAATCGGTAGGTGGTCGATTGTGACGGTAGTGGCTCGGCCTTGGACGAATCGAAGTCCCAGAAGGCCTGCGGACACGATACTCCAAGGGATCCTGTCATGCATGACTGTTCCATCGAATGACTGCAATCGCCAAATGTGGCTCATACGACTTCTCGAAGTGCAAGACCTTCTTCGCGTAAATGATGATTGTGCCCTGGAAGGTCTCAACCGTCGACGTGTGACAGAACTCCGTGTAGTACGAACAAACGGTCGTGCTGCAATGCCTGCCCAACGTCTGGCGAATGATGTCGTACACGGGATCGTCGTGCGTGTACAGAGGCAGCCGAGATGGGTCACCCGCCTTTGAGCATAAAAGCTCTCTGTTTGCAACGCACCTGGAGTGGTCCCCGGCCCAATGGTCGGCGATCATCATGACATCATTGTGCAGAGTCACAAAGTCGCCGACCTCATCTCTGCAAAGCTGGGAAACACGAAGAAACCAATGCCCCACCTCATGCATATGGAACTCAGTCACACCATCTGCATCCACGACCAAGGATTTATTGTTTTTCATCGTGTCGTACGGGTACATTTTGCTCATCACAAGAGCAACGAAGTCGCTCTTCTTCAGTCGTTCTTCTTTTGCTGTCAAAGACCCTGGTCCAAAACGGTCCGTCAAGGCATCCAACAACTCCTTCTTCGTAAACTGCATAAACTGAGATTCTGACACGCACTGATGAGGGTTGTTCAATTTCTTTGGCACCTTCAGTGTCACGACTTTTCTAAGTGCCTTGCGAATGTTTTTTACCTTATGATGGCAATCCTTCTGCCATTCAATACCCAGGCGCTCCAACTGTGGACCCAATGCAGCACAATCGTCGAAGACAACACACCGGATTTTCACCCCCTCGACAGCAAGCCTCTCAACAGGCGCACAACAGCAGGAACCTCAAGTTGGTTCGACGCCTTTCCCTCATTTTTTGGCCGAAGAGTGTGAACACCCACCACAAGACGAGTATCACACTCAATCGCGGTAACAGTGCAATGTTGCGCAGACCTGGCCGAGTCGTAGCGACCGTCAACCATCAAAGTGACGGGTCTCCCTGATCGCATAACCGTGTTAATGGCCAAGTCGCAATACACGCTCTGCCTGACAACCTTTGCATTCCAACCCTCACGCACATTTGGCTCACCACGCTTGCAACTGTAAAAAGTAGGTTTGTGCACAGGTGCCACCCCAAACACGATGCAGAAGTCGTTGAGGACGGTATATGTCATACCCGCAGTGACGGTCACATGGAACAACTGCTGTTGAAGTCTGCAAGAGTACACAGCTCCCCAAACCAGTGCACTGTGCCATGCCGAACGACAGAACTTCTTACAAGCGAGCGAAATGCGACAAATCTGCCCAGGATAACCGACAGAGGACACATCCACAGCACAACCGCCCCCGTGGCGCGGGCAACTCAAATCGAACAGCCCGAGCAACTGCAGCAGCTTCACCTGCTCCACGAAGATGACATCAGGCGCTTTCGAGCCTTCCCAGTGCCCCATCGATTCCAACACATGTGCAGACCGATTATTGCAAGGTCCGGTTTGCAAAGCACCATCCTTCGAATCGTCCCAGCACAAAGGACGTAAATGTTCGAAACAAGAACGCGACCTGCCACGGCTTGGTGGCCGCCCACGCGATCTGCGGCCACGCTGTGACCCGTGCCTTGAACGCGGTAGTGAATCATCCGACCCACAAAATGACCCGCCATTGCCTCCACTGCTCCCTTCACCCTCACACTCGCCATCATCCTCAGCGTCCGCTGTCGAATCATCCCCTCCTGCTCCGAGACGAAACACATCTGCATGACTGCCGGCCGGTAGTGTTCTCTCGATCCTCGACGCCACACCGTCCCCGAACTCTGACCGGATGGCTGGCAATGACCAATGCAACAGTCGGTCGACGACATCGCTCATGACCCCAGACTTGTCGCTCACTTTTTTCATCGCAGATTGTAAAAGGCGCAGTCTCTCCTTGCAAGCGGTAGTCAGGAACAAACGAGAGTACTTCGCGGAACCAGTTGACTGCGAACCGAATTGCCCCAAGGACCTGTCCGAGTGTTCAGAACGACCCGCACCAAGATTTTGAGCGCCAGGATCGCAACGGTCGGGCCCATGTCCGCTACCACACACATTGTCATCCTCGTCGAACCGGGAGACGAGAGAGCGACGGGCAGAATTACGGTCATGTGTGTCCCTGGCAGAGGCACGACGTGCATCATCCAATACACCCCCCTGCCCATGACCTGATGCGGCGAACGAATGTGAGACCCGCGGTTCTACACTCCGACGTCCTCCGTCACGCAGTGTGGACCCTCCACTTCCAAACACCGCGCCTGATGCTTGAGAACACCCCTCTAGGGGGATGGAGTCCAACTCGTCGCGTCCAACGAAAAGTGGAGGAGGAGGAAATGGCTGCGCAACACACGACAGAAACTGCAAACGGCGAGGTTGCAATGGCGACGACAACACAGGAAAACACAACGCATCGAAATCCGACAGAGGGTGTACCGGAGTGTATGGACGGCGCGCTGGAGACGGCAACAAGGGTGGCAACGGAAAATGCACGACTGCAACGCCGGGAGTGACGACAACCGTAGGCGAAAGAGAGTGAACACAAGGCCTCTTTGTTGATCGCATGTCATCCAGGCTGCCATAAGGGGATACTCCCAGCAAACCGCGTTGTCCGGCATGCGGTGACACCGGCGTGGCGTTGCCATACGCGGGCCAAGTGGGTGGCCGTTCTGCTGACCTGCCGTCATCAGGCGTGAAACTGGCTGGTGCGTCATCCACGACAGATGGGCGGCCCTCTCCCGCGCCGTGCGTGTGGTGCGTGGTGGACGGTGCAATGCCGGCAACACAATCTCGAAAAGGATGAACTGCCAAATCGCCAAAATAACAACGTCTGGTCCTGTAATCAGCAAACAGTCATCGGATGACAGACTCAGTGACTTGCATTGTCACCGATGCATTGGAAAAGAGACTGATTTAGAGAAAGACTTACGAACTTCTTGACAGACTGACCTTCGGCCAGACCGCCTGACACACATCCAATGCAGCGACTGAGTGACCAACTTGATGACATGTCAGAAACCCCGCACGACAAACCGGAGTCATTGGATTGATCGAATGATTGACGTTTTTATATATATATATATATATATATATATATATATATATATATATATAGAGAGAGAGAGAGAGAGAGAGAGAGAGAGAGAGAGAGATCAGTTCAATCGATCAATCAATCAATCAATCAATCAATCAACCAACCAATGATTCAATCAATGTATTGATTGGGTTGACTGATTGATTGAATGATTGAATGATTGAATGATTGATTGATTAATTGATTGATTGATTGATTGATTGATTGATTGATTGACTGATTGAGTAATTGATTGATTGATTGATTGATGAAATGTTTGTTGTTTTTCGTATTGCACACAGAGAGAGAGAGAGAGAGAGAGAGAGAGAGAGAGAGAGAGAGAGCACACACACACAGTCAGACACACAGAGTCACACAGACACAGTCGCACACACACTCAAATAATCATTCAATCAATCAATCAATCAATCTTTCAATCAATCTATTCATTGGATAGATTGAATGATTCATTGATTGATTGATTAAAATGTTCAAATTTTTGTTTTTGGAGAGAAAGAGAGAGAGACTCTGAGATAGATACATACAGAGAGAGAGAGAGAGAGAGAGAGAGAGAGAGAGAGAGAGAGAGAGAGAGAGAGAGAGAGCACACCAACACACGCAGTGACCTAGACAGTGTCACACAGACACAGTCACATACACAGTCATAGTCCGATCAATCAATCAATCAGTCAATCAATGTAATCATTGCATTGATAGAATGATTGATTGATTTAATCAATGGTTTTTTTTTTTTTTTTTTTTCAATTTTTTTTTTTTTTGAAAAAGAGAGAGAGAGAGAGAGAGAGCACACACACGCACAGTCAGACACACAGAGTTTATGTGTCCGATATCTGATTCAACGGGGGTTTGGAAGTGAATGGTTCAACTCCCGTTGAACCCCCGTTTGAAGTCAGCGTTATACGCCGATTGATTGATTGATTGATTGATTGATTGGTTGTTTGATTGATTGATTGATTGATTGATTGATTGATTGATTGATTGGTTCATTGATTGATTGATTGATTGATTGATTGATTGATTGA